CGTCCCCCAGACACTCTCGTTAAAAACATAAAAGACCTCTATAGACGACTTTGTTTGCCAATGAGTTAAAAGGTTTATTCGTTCAATGTAGGCCCCCGTTTTTATTCCAGTTAAAAATTTTGTCCCGTTGTGTATTTGATTGTGAACCCTGGTCTAAAGGACCTCGTCCCTGTCAGGTTTGGCTAATTGGAAATAAAGGAGGCAGCTTTGGATATCCAAAGGGGGGGTCCCCTTTGGCCCCCCCTGACTGCTCTGTCTCCACCAGGGGGCGCCCTCGCTGGGCCCCCCCCCTGACTGCTCTGTCTCCACCAGGGGGCGCCCTCGCTGCCCCCCCCCCCCCCCCCCCTGACTGCTCTGTCTCCACCAGGGGGCGCCCTCTCTGGGGGGCCGCCAACACGGCGCTGCTGCGATGGCTGCCGGCCCGGTACCAGGACGGGGAGGGGGAGCCCCGAGGCCGGGGCCCCGGGGGGGTCCAGGACGGCCTCCTACTGCCCCCGGTGAGCCGGGGGGGGGGGGTTCCTGAGTGCTTTCTGTTCTGCCTCCATCTCTACCCTCCTGTCACCATTCAAAGGAAAACGATCTAATCGATGACGTAATCATGTAATAAACACATGCAAAATGCTGTTAAATGCCAAAAAAACTACTAAAATTGGTTGTTAAATGCAAAAAAAAGAACAAAAGCAATAAATGCAAAAAAGGTTATTTGTAAAAAAATGAACAATTTAAATGGACCCCCCCACCAAAAAATATAGTTAAATGCAAAAATAAAAAATAAGTATGAAATGCTTCAAAAGGCATTAAATGCAAAAGAAAGGAAAAATGTTTAAAGCAACAGAAAAAAATAAAAAATATGTTAAATTCAAAATAGGTTAATTGCAAAAAAAAAACAATTTAAATAGAATAAAACGAAAAAATTGTCATGTAGGCGGGTTCTGACGGGAGGACTCAGTCGCGGAATGAGGGGAACAAGGTTTATTGAACAAAAACAGGGTGAATGTCCAGACAAAATACAAAAACAAAGCTGTGGCAAACTGTGGGCAAAGTAACAAAGCAATGAGCAAACAATACTGTGGCAAAAACTATGACTTGACAAAGTAACAAAATAAAGATAAACAAGACTATGACAAAACGTGACTATGACTGTGGCTGTGGCAGAACTAGGACGAAGACAAACCTGGCGTGGGGGTGATGACGGACGAAAGGACAAGAGACAAGGCAAGCAGACAAGAACGACCCCGCACCAGACAAGGGGAAACGAGGACTATTTAAACACATGAGGGAGGGAAACCCCAGGTGTACACAATAGGTAATCAAGACGAGACATTCCCCCAGGCGTGACAAAAATGTTGTTAAATGCAAAAATCAAAAATAAATCTTAAATGCATG